AAAGCCGGTATTGATCCACATCTTTTTAATCGTAAACGTCCGATTCGGATTGTAAGCTGTTCGAATGAATCGATGTTCATGGACAAACTCGTGTTGACTAGAACGGCGACGCCGCCAAGTCCTCTACTGTTGCATGTTCCGAGGAACAGGTCTTCTTCGGTGTCATAGACGGCGTTGAATGGGTGGCGTCGTCTTGTTTCGGCCAAGCCGATGATGTCGTACCTCATCCTTCTATGTTGCATGAGCTAGTCTTCTATCGAGGACTTGGATGCAAGTGTACGTGCATTGTAGGTACAGATCGTCACCATAGTTCTTTGTTATCCAGGCAGCTTCCATTGTCCTTGAGATTTTAGCAGCCTCTCCGTACTCGTCCTACGAAACGCTGCGAAATAGGGGGCTCTTTCGGGCTCAGGGAATGAGGCCAGTTTCTTTCACTGTTTTTAGCTTTTTCATACCCACGTATAGCTTGCTGGGCTCTGAACGTGGGGGCTGGGTATACTCATGGGTAGCTTGCCAGGCTCTCCCAGAGTGGACATGGAGCTTATTTGTTGGTGGCGATTCCTAACAGCCTCCTATACACTTCCTTATCACTTGATTGCAGGCTTTTGTTCGAATTGACTCGTAGAATACAATCCGCATAAGCAAGAACGCACCCACACACGTATGAATGAATACGCCTAGCAAATACAGAAAGTATGTGCCAAATCCGCGCAGCAGAAACCATCTCCTGGATCCACCTGCGTCTCAGAGGGGAAGATGGCGAGTGTAGTAGAGCAGTCCCACTCGTAGCAGGACGGTTCTGAGGTAGGTGAAAGTGCGAAACATCAGCCAACGACCGACAACAACAACAACAGCAACAACGACAACTATAACAACCTCGCATCAGCTCAACAAGGTCAGTTCATAAGAACGCATGAATAAATATTTCGATTATTGATGTCGAGGTTCATAGAAAGTCGGTCTTTTGAGTTGCTATGAACTTAGAGAGTTCAAACAAACCGCACGATAGTAATTGAAAGACGAAGATCGCTAGCAGTTTGCTCCTCAGCGTTAATTGTACATGATAGGCCAATAGAATACTGAGTTAAATTGGCGAAAGACCTTAACAGGTTGCATTTGTCATCAGTGCAAAAGTAGTTGTACTTGACTGTTTTATTCCAAACAAAAAGGTTTTCAAACAAGAATTCGAAAAAAAGCCCTAGAAGTAAGAATGAAATTGGGTAAATGGGCGGGCGAACCTACCGAATGTAAACGGTACTATACCCGTTTTGTAAATGTTGACTGAAAAGTAGACTTCCAGATATACTGCAATCAGAAGCCAATCAAGAAATAATGAAATTTGTAGAATTTCTGGAACATTCTATGTCATCATACCAACCTGATGACGCTTCGCGTAGAAGAGTCATAAGAGAAGACTCGTTTTCCACTAATTCCGTCTTGCAAGGCGGACAGTATCCGATTCATTGGCAAGGCATGAATGGACGTAATGTTTCCGTTAGCAGTAGCATAGAATACCTAACCAAGCAACTTTTTACAGAGAACTTTTCAGCCTACTAAAACTGAACCCTTTTTGAGGAACCAAGGGATATAAATATTGCCGAAAAATAGTAATAAAGTAACATATAAAAGCATAAATACACAAAAAAAACGCAAAAATATAAGAAATTACCACTGAACTCTTGCAGAAAAAATTGAGGCAAGAAACAGTTACCAACACCACAGGAAAATCGAACTCACACTTTCGCTATATGGATCTTCCATCCAGTTAGTGCGAACTTTGTTTAAGAAATGCATTTCGAAGTTGTTAACATATCTGATATCAAACATAAGAGGATCGTTGTCACCTAAGAAGTGTATGATGTGATGGGTTTCCGTACCAACACTAAACTAAATATGTGAAATTTCCTATGTGAACAAATAATAAATACAAGTACAAAAGAGACTAAATACAAAAGAAATGTCGAGGAGGAAAGGGCAACACTTGTCCTGATTTTGAACGGCTTAAAAAAGCGTAGTCTATTGAAAAATTCTAAGCACATCTCCGAAGTACATACAAATCGAAAAAGATAGGCTTTTCACGTGGCTCCATTAACCAAGCACAGAAGAAAAACAAATCCTCACAATCTTGATGGAGCTGCAATTTTCGCAGCACTAGTTCAAAAAAATTTTTTTAAAGCCAGACTACTGACACACCTGGAAAGAGATTGAGAAGTCGATAAACAGTACAATATAGCGTTCCAAGAGCATTACGAGTAATCAGATATAACAGCTGATACGACTGATCATAAACGGTGTATTCCTGGAAAAATAATACAAATTTCTCAGAATAATAGAAGAATAAGTCATTAGTGCTTTTCACTCTACATCATTTAAATCCGTTTTTACTATGATGCTGAGATATCTGCAAAACTCCGGACGGCAGGTGGCTGCGGTAGGGACTGAACACGTTATTATCCTTTCCGGTGGCTAACGCGTTCACCACCACACCAAGCGCGTCCTTCGTTTCGTTCGTCTCTCATCTAGTTTTCCTCCCTTCTTACTTTTTCGACAAATTCTACTGAAATGCTAGTAAAACAAACATGTAACTCATGTCCATTAATTCAATGTTTCTCGTAAAGAAGCAACTCGTTCAACTAAATCACTTGATTTCCAAGAAAAAAAATGTTGCGCATCACATTGTTCAGACTTCCCTCTTGTATACACAGAAAGACATATGCATACACACATTCATACATGCTTAGATACATAAATGTATACATATACATGCATCTAAAACACATACTACATATATTTATATTATGTACATATATTTACAAAATTAACAACTCACCGTTTTGACCATGTTCAGATGTTTGTGCGTCCTATTTGAAAACACTACGAAACGTGAATACATGTGGGACGTATAATTAAGAGCAGATGGATGAGGCACCTGAGGTATCGTGCATGTAATAAAAAGTAATTTCGTAAAAAAAAGAAAACTGTCCGGACATGTATATCTTCCACAAATGCAATGGATCTTGCCATTGAATCCCTTCCTATGTAGAGAGCCCTGGGCGGCCGCTTCTGTTCTGGATCACGTAAGAGATGTACACGTATTGGGTAATCGCAACCAACAACAACTTTTTGTGGCCATCTGAAACCCATCATTTACATTCGGTGAACATTCCAGCTTGAATAATTCATTTTTTCAACAACAAGTTTTAAAAGCTAAAAGCTCTAGGCATTGATTAATCCGAGAAATGCGCCATGCACTCGACTTCACTAAGCATCGTTTGGAGGTGATTGAATTCATAACTGACCTTTACAGTGACTCCTCGGTGGCCTACCGATGTGTCGATCCAGTGGTGCTATCATTCCAGATAGGTATGTTATCAATTTGCTGAGCACGGAGGGATAGAAGGCTCGGTGAGCCTCTGGTGCGGGATTAATCCCATGTGTTGCAGGGCGCCTCCGACCACTGCGCCACATGCGCCTTCGTGCAAGCCCAAGAAATTCAACACGTTAAAAAATCACAAGCATGTAAATACTTATAGACGAATATGAACGAATATGATTAGATGCGTACGTAAGATAATGGTCAGTCTGGTTAGCGACAGACAGGCAGTTCATATCCTTAGTGTCTCCTGGCACGTTGACAAATTCTGCAGGTGTTTCCAATTAAAGTTGGATGTTTGGATATATTTTGGAATGAATTTATATAGATCCAACCGGTGCGATCAAAGCTAGAAGATAGCAATAAAACACGCATCTTTTAAATAAAAACAAAGTTGAAAAACAAACACTGCGTTTCCGAAAACAAACGGCACAAACCTTTCTTTTTCAGGGTAGAGGTTCCAAATAGTATCGAAAAAGAAAAAAACGGAAATGCATACGAAAAACTATCTTACCCATGATTAAAACAAAGGCAATGCCAAATAACTCACTTTGTGATATGCGCAAATGTTCTCGGGCAAGTGCTGTCCATGATACTCGACTCGAATATTGTCTGACACGTGTACTGCGATATCATCAGATACTGACTGGTCCCCATATTCCGACTGAAGGACACGGATCTCGGTGAAACGAAGCCGTGTTGCAGGAACAATATCAACAGCGATAACAAAACCATTGAGTACCTGGAAAACAAATTTGAGATTTTCACTATGAGGATACATAATGCAACACCACTCCACAGTAAGATGTGCTAAACTGCGAAACTCGACTTTCATCCAGAACAGAGTAAATTAGCGCCCAGGAAGCGCCGCCCTGGTATCAACCCACTGGCAAGGTGGCAAACCTCTCTCCGATTCGTGTCTGGCAGCGACTGCATGTGTTGACAACCTGAGGTGACTGCCTATTCCAAGATTTCCTGGCACTATGGGGGAAAGGTTTCATCAAGCCCGAAACACATCAACTACCCAGAAAATGTGTTGGGGCCCAGATGGCGTTTCATGAAGATGGGCCATTCAAGTACTTCACAAGAAAAGGCATCCAACTCAAAATAGATGTTATCGCTTGACTACTGGACAGCTAGGCATGACGATGGTAACAAATTTTAAACAAGGGCTTTAAGTTAAGGTTCGAAAATGGCGAAATAGAATCATAACAATCAACTATGTACTGTGGAATCTACTTAAACTGGCGCGTAAGAAGAAAACGACGTCATGTAATGCATAGAACGGGAAGTGAAGAGTACGAAAAAATAAAAGTTAGGAGAAAATGTTTCGTCCATTCATATCCATACAAATGCAGTGAAATCAGGAACCCAGGCGGTGCTGCTCGGTCTATCAACGATTTGCTCGGAAGGAGACAACTTGCTTTCGCTAAGGAATTCCTTAAGACGACAGACGATTGACTATGGTTTGGACAAATTCCACATCGACACATCGGTCCAGAATCGAACACTTCGGTAATCAAACAGTTATGGACGGTGCTCAAGACTCTACTCGTGGACAAGTTGCACCCAGACCACTAGAAGTCCTAGAAGTCCTCAATTCTTCATAGAACTATTACGAACAGAATGAAACTGATGAAAAAGAAACAGTAGTCCGGGTTCAAAATATAGCCCTTACAAGAAAGCGCAACAGTCTCGAGGTCGCGTCTATAGGGAAATCGATCGATTGTGACCATCGCGGACTTACGAAATCTCCGCAAATCCCAATTTTACAGAATCTATCGATCGCTGGTCAGGAACCTATCATACTGTACATTAGATTGTCAGTAAATCTCTCAGGTGTGAAGTTAGGACAAAGGGTCCCTCACCTTTGGCTTGATATCGTCTGGAATCAGAGTGTGGTTGTGAGATTCTGATGACTGTTGGTGATGTGAATGTGGAATAATGCGTTTTTTACTTAACGTGGCACATGATGGTTTCACGAAGCGCTTGATTTCTGGATAGCAGATGATTCCCGTCTTCCTTTCTCTGGATTTCATGGCGTTTTACTCTTATTTTACACTTTTTTTCACACATATTGCATTGAGTTGCTGGTTTGCTGTAGGACAACGTTCTCGTTGTTGTGTTAATCCCTGTTAATTCAAGCTATTCGAATGAAAATAAGGAATAGAAAGCCATTGAAACAATTTTTCTATAGAATTCAAGCTTTTCCAGTTCCACAGTGGTGTCTCTTCAATCATCGGAGCACCATAACTGGAGAACTTGGAACAACTAGGGTACGAAACTGTGCCTCACCCAAATTATTCGACCGTCCTTACGCTGGCTGACTGCGTCACCTTCGAGACCCTTGACAGCTAATTGCTGAAAAGGTCTTGAGCATTTCCCTTCAGATGCTCTAAGAACCTTTCCAGGAGCTCTAATTTTGCCACTATAGAAAAGATAGTTCATTGTTAATGATGTGTAGATTCAAAAGGTCTTTATTTTCGCTTATTTACTTACTTGGATACTTGGATGGCCGTCCTCACTGGTTGTGCTGGCCACAGCATAATTTTCATTGTTTCGGAGTTCTGCTGGTTTAACCATTGTGGTTCCCTGGAGTCCTGAGGTCAGCCAGGCCAAGGTCTGTCCCAGATCGTCACCACTACAGGTTGTTACCTCCGTTGTGGAACAGAAGGAGAGTTGCTACTATGCGGGTTTGTTACAGGGACGGTGGTGGATCCTGGTGTTGGTTTACTCTTAGCTGGGCTCCCGATGAAAATGCCGGAATCCTTCTCAGCTTAGAAGACCCTGCCGGCGGGGGATGAATCCGCCCGCTGTACATCGCAGCTCGACGCCCAGGAGCATCTCCCAGCCACTTATCAGTAAGGTTTATTACGAGTTGAGATATATTCGAATCAGTATGGGAGTTGAGATTCCTATTCGTTTCAGAGTTTACAGAGACCGTTGGAAAAAATAATTTTTTTCTTGTACGACTTGTCTTTCACATTTACTTTGCGTATCCCAGCACTTCTCGCAATCGATTCGCTTCTTCGCATCCATCTTCTACGAAGATCTTCCAACTCTTTGCTTCGGTGGCTGCTTGCGGATTGTCTTTTAATCTTAATGGTTAGTGAAATGGTTTTAATAACGACTAATTTTTACTTATTACGAAGCGGCACTGATCATAGTCGTCTCTGAAAACGGCTGTTGAATTGGGCACGGTAAAGATGGTTGCCAGTTCGGGCGAAAGTTTCTCGGAAAGCTGACCCTGTTCAAACCGCACTTTTCTTCATGTATCGTTATTATTGACGATTCATCTCGCATTCCACCTGTTCTGACAACACCTGCTTACAGCTTTTAAACGGAGGGGTGCGTTTAGGTCTTTTAGAGTTTTTCACGTCCTCCTTACACATACCTATTCATATTTTTGTTATTAATTGTAGTAGTACGGCTTGGTTTAGACTTGAAACTCGTAACTTGATAGAATTTTGCTTTACTTCCTGGTTTATGATTGTCAATCCAGAATGAATCCCATATTTATGAAGAGAAGTTGCCATGCTTTTGTAGGCTCATTACACAGCTGTTTGACTGATTTTTGCCGCTCTTTTATCCTAAACCGTGCTGAATTATAGGAGACATTTCCCATGTTAAGTTGTGTTGGGGGCGTAGTTATAGGACGTCTGTGAACTCATTCATTCTCCCAATCTGATCTCTTCTTAGCTTATTCCGCTCATTAGAAAACTTCTTCATGTTGATCACTTAGATTGAACTTGTTACTGAAATAATCTAGACGGATACCGGAATAATTCACCGATGCTCAAGTTATGCAAAAAAAGTATGCGTGTTCGAGCTCAGGATCATGTTTAGATGATAAACTTATGAGTTTCTTTAGGAAATTTACGAAGCAGTTAGTACGTTACACATGTTCGCCACATACACACGCGCTTAGCTATTCACCGTAGCTAGAACCTGTGATGTGATACATATGGGGAAACCATCCCTACTTTTCATCCTGATACTTCACAGTTTCATCGTAGATGGGAAAGGTTCTGATTGTAGAACTGAGATCTGCACTAGCATTGCGCAGAGCAAAGCTGCCTACCTGTGTGTACTTCCCAGCCAACGACAAAATGATGAACTTCATACTAGAAATGTAATGTTCTTCAAGTGCTATAAATAAGCGGATCTCACTGAATATCGGTGTTGCTTGCTCGAACCACTCGATTAAAAGCAGTCGGGACGAGAGTTACGATATTCGTTTTTAAATAGTTGATATTTCTGATTGTTTTCTGTGGAGGCGTTGAAGTGGATTTTAATAGATTTCATACTCCTTTAGTTTGAATAGTAGTAGCCAGAATATACAGCATCTCCCAGCTGATAAGACATACGTGAATAAAGGCCACAAATCACGTACTTTTTGGCATAATCATTGTTAATAACATTTTAATACTTTCCTTTCATAATTATAATAACGTCAAGAGCGGAGTATATTGTAATCAGGTTTAACCACAATAATGCTGAGATAACCACAACGATGCTGACATATTTGCAAAACTCCGAACCGCAGGTGTCTGCGGGGGGGAACGAAGACGCTGTTGTCTTTTCCAGGGGCTAACGCGTTCACCACCATACCATGCAGGTACTTTCCCAATTCCGTTGACGGTTAATTGCTGATGGCACCTATAAACATAGTTGAGAGGAAGGCGAATCGAAGGACCCGCGTGGTGTGGTGGTGAACGCGTCAGCCCCCGGAAAGGATGATAACGCGTTCGTTCTCCACCGTAGACACCTGCGGTCCGGAGATTTTGTAAATATCTCAGCAATCTTGTGGTTAAATCTCTCATTATACCCTGCCATGAACAGAGGAATAGGAAATAAATCAAGAGTGACCATATTGCAGTCAGATTGTTTTTAAAAAGAATTTCAAGAATTATTATAGTAACTGTTGTAAAAATACAGCCACAACGTTGCTGAGATATTTGCGAAACTCTGGACCGCAGGTGTCTGCGGTGGGGAACGAACGCGTTATTGTCCTTTTCGGGGAGTAACGCGTTCACCAGCTGAGAGGCAGGTGATTAACGGGTGATTGCTGACGACAAGAGATCGATGGAACTAGCTGAAAGATAGGCGAAACGAAGCAGCCGCATGGCGTGGTGGTGAACGCGTTACTTCCCGGTAAGGACAATAGCGCGTTCGTTCCATTTACATTTATTCTTGCTCTATGTACAAACCGCTACATTGTCAGCATTTTAGGCACCTCCATCTGCTATTATGAACATTCTGTATAAGCTTTAAAACGTTATCTGATGAACATTCTTTAGAAGCTTTGAATAGCTATCTAGTGAACCATACGGTAACACAGCTTCTTGTATACCGTCTCATCTGACGTATCTGTCGATGTCTTGGTTTAAAGCAGCTCTATCAGATTTTTCTAAAGAGGAAGCATTCTAGTATCTCTCTTTGAGCATTATCTCTGGTTTATTCTGTTAACGCTCCGCCTATTACCCACGAAAACATAAGGAGCATTACTAGTCATCGACTCAGTGTTCCAGTATTCCCGTGTTTCGCCCAGCGCTTCACTCGTGCCCGTTCGCTGAACTAATTATCGTCACATTGTTAATATTGTATTGTTATTATAGCCATAAACAGTTACAACACAAGCTCGGGGTTGATCTCCATGGCTACGGAGAAAGTCCCGCGTGGCAGACTCGTACAAACCCGAGTATTCTATTTCGAGATAACAATTATCCATCACCGACCTACTCGAAGATATATACTCCACTGCACCAACTAGTACAGCTGTTTCCCCTATGCATTAGAGAAACGTTGTTTTCTTTCTTCGTAATTGAGAAAGAGAAGATAAGTGGCACCAGTGCATACACGCAAACGTTTTTGGAAATCGTCTCAACTTGAAGCGTATACGTTTGTGATCCCTTTATGAGGTTGCAAATAAAAAGGATAAGAACATTTATTACTTTTGCAGCAACATTTCGTTATAGCACACAGGCGGTTGTACAATTAGAGCTGTTTGGTTGAGCACAAAATGAATTCAGAAGATAAAACGAGGCTGGAGAAGTGGCGGTCTCAGCTCATCTTCGATGTCTCTCACTAAATTTTTCCTTGTATTCGTTGGCGATCGGAAATGTTTTGGCTGCAGAAGAAAGATATTTGCGATGTGGCAAATGTCACAAGTTTTGTCAATGAGTAAATAAGTGATTAAAAACCGCTGGAAATAAACAGTTGATTATGTGTTCTTCAACGTGACCCGTGTAGAGAATCCAAAGTGATTGGAAATGGGTACTACCAACGATATGCGTTGATTGTACAAACTACATTTGAATAGAGATGAAAACAGATTGTTTCATCTACTTACTGTATGCTTGAAGCCAGGAGTTCGTGTGGAGGTGTTGATGTGCGACTGGATATGGTACTTGTATGAAGTCCCATACTGAAACAAAAAAGTACTTAGGTTTTATGAATAACATGTCAACATGTCAACGATTGCTGTCACACTTCCACGCCATAACGGATTTTGCTTTCTTAATTCACGTAGTGGTGACACAGTGGTTGTGGTGTCGTTCATTACGAGCACGACGCTGGTTTATCTCAGCGCTGAGCCCACCAAGCTTCTCATCACTTCGCCGCTGCAAACGGAGCACCGAAGCCTGGCTATCCCAAGACATCAGGGAGAATCAACTGGACCCGAATTCAAAGGCATTTATGACGACAGGAAAACAGTCAGACAGCATTCGAGCCCACACACGAAAAGATCAAAGTTGATAGTAAATGATGGATACAAGGATTAGGTTCGTAAGAAGTGTCGTGATGCATATAATAGGTGTAAAAACGGGTCCTATAAAATAAAACTAGCATAGAATCCTTCGTAATACTAGAACTTAGGGGACTTGTGCTTTGCAAATTTTTTTTCTCTAGGCTATTGACTTTCATAACGCAATATGCTTCTCCGACGTTCCATCCGGATGCTCAGCTAAGAGTAATGCAGTGTTAGAAATCACCACTATCCTGGTACTAAACTAGTCGCATGGTGGCAAATCTCGCTGTGATCCACAACAGGCGGCCACCTGAGTAAGGCTCCGGCTAGGCCGACCTTAGGGATCCAGGGAACCATAATGGCTCAGTCAGTAAAAATCCAGCCTCAGTGCCCCGCACACTCGACGCCGCCGTCTACGACGATAGGTATCTGTGGTTACAGTGGCCATCATTAGAAACGGACAAAACGAGTACGCTCACGATAAACCATGGAGACTACTTTTTCCTCTGCTCCTATGATGCCGGATCAGTCTCCTCAGATGCATGTCTTTACGCTTTCCTTGAGACTGCTTACTTGGATACTTGGATACTTAGATGGCCCACCTTCACTGGTTGTCTCATCAACTGTTACTCAGCAACTTGTACAGCTGATAAGAGCGAACTGGACGAGTTTTACAACAATTTGCAGGAATTATCCAGAATGATAAGTCCTTCTATTAATTCTTTGTTGGAGACTTTGACGACAGATTAGAAACGGCCAACGAAAATTAACGGAGGATAGGGGAATTAGAAATAGGAGAACGAAATCAGAATGGAGACCGTTTTATAGGAGTTCTTTCCGCAGCACGTCTCTTTCATAGGAATTCATTACGAGAGAAGAGAGAAAATCGCCGATGGACATGGGAGTCTTCCAAAACCGCGACTCGTGCGGAGATCGATCCTATTCTCATGAACAGAAAATGGTACCTCTTTGCCACCTCTGTGGCACCTGAATTCTGTTCGGGATTGATCACCGCTTTTTCCGTTCGAGGATTTGTTTCAGCCATGAGCAGGAAGAGAACTCATGTCATCCAAGGGAAACGAAGCAAGACGTGTATGACGAGGATATTCTCAATAAAATCCTATCTTCATATAACTGGCATGTAAAGGAAGACGCCATCGAGAAATACATGCCGCTTGTCGAAGGACTTAAACCTTGTGTCGAACTCGCCTCAATTCCTCAAACAAGAAGTTCAGACCGCATCTCCATTGGAATTAAGAAGTTGCTCGAAACGAGAAGGATACTGAAGCTTTATCCTATTGCAACACACCTAACACGGGTGGTAATAAATGCCAGTTGTAGAACATCTCTGTAGGAGGACTTACATCGGTATGGGCAGGAAAAGTTGATGGAAGCAGCTTAAAAACGATTCGAAATCAGTGGTGATGAAAAATCGCCCAGGATTCTATCCTGTATAGTTCGAGTTGCCATAGAAAGCATGAAGAGAGGCACGGCTTCACAGCCCGATAATATCACTGACGATTTCCGTAGAGCTGGTGGCCATAAGCTGTACGTTCTTCTCGCAATCCACAGGAAGTCTTGCCTTCAGAAAGAAAAAACGCTAGACCAATTGAGGACTTCGCGAACGGTCGTTCTACCCTGCAAAGGTGACCGAAGAGATCTTCGTAACTACCGTCTAATATGCTCGTAGAATGTACTCTACTCTACAAGCTATTCACGAAGGTCATCCTTTTGTGCATATCGAAAACCCTGAATAAGTTACAACCCGTTGAGCTAGCCGGAAGAATTTCGACAGATTCTGATGCATAGACCTCAACCAAGTCGTGTAACAGTTCATTGAATTCTGTAGGAAGTACCATCTTTCCCTTGTCCTATGTTTTATCGAGTACGAGAAAGCGTTTGGCAGCGTCGAAAAGAATGCGCTCCTATGAGTGCTCATCGACCAAGAGGTGGATCCGTCCTATAGACGAACGCTAGCAGACTGTTATCGGAAATATAGTACAAATATACAGCTTTTTCATCGATCCTTCACCATACCCATAGGTAAAGGTGTTCGAGAAGACGGCGTAACATTGCCAAAGCTGTTTACTACCGAACCGAACTATAGTAGATACCGAAGTCACTCAATTGTGGCGAGAAGTACATGACTATTAGTGGAAAGTCCTATTCAAATCTTCGTTTCGCGGATGAAGTCATCATGTTTTCCAGAAGTACCTATGAAGCAGAGACGTTGACCAATGAACTCAACGAGATAGCGGGAGGAGAGATAGGACTGCGCATAAACAGAAAGTGTTAAATTTTTGAAGAAAAACAACATTAAGGTGAAATTAGACAAGACGGAGAGCAGCATCGGCCACATTCGGCTATATAGTAACTATTCCTTAAATAGTTCTTATTCTCTATAATATCACATTTTTCCTATACTATTTGCTCATAACTATCTTAAATCTATCCATTCATAATACATAGGTCCTTAGGCCGTTTCCACATGTACCATGTACTTCCGGTAAAAGCCTTTGTACAAGCTATTTCATCTCTTCCACATGACCTTTTGAGAAGCCTTTGCGTTGTTTTATATAATCTTTCTATACGAGCTATTCCCTCGCTATGTGATCAAGTTCTATGTTGACCAAGCCCCTTGCATACCGTCTTATCTGATGCACTTCTCCGTATGTACCGTGTCATACCTTGAATCAGCACTATCTCTAACTTCCTCTGTAAAACCCCACCCATTGCAGACAAAATAGGAGCTCCAGCAGTCTTAGAGACGAGTGTCTGCCTTCCAAGCTACCAGTGCTCGAACTCCAGGGTCCGCCTAGCTTCCTTCAAGTGTACTTGTTCCCATTTCAATCTCACTCGTATCCACCCAGCTTACATATCGTCAAATATCACACATTATTATTGTATCGTTGTTGTTGCTATAAACTGTTATACCCAAACTCGAGGTTGTTCAAGACAGTTACAGAGAAAAGTACCTCATGGCGAATTCATACAAAGTTGAGCATTCTACGTACAGTTGGCGAACAAAAGACCAATCCGACCAACTCCCTAATCCACTGGCCAACTAGCACAGGCTACTCAATGAAACCACCGATCAACTAACGGACTCAAAACTCCGTGCTCACATTTCGATCCAACAGTCCTCCCAGCGCTCTGCTATACAGCGGAAATGAGGGCTGATTCGTGGCTAACATCAACCACCTGCACGCATAGATAGCAACGATCTCAGGATCACGGATTTGGGGACCGCAGACTGCACTATGTTCGAAGCAAACCACCACCATGGACTGCGATTGCACGAGAAAAGAACGATTGGAAAAAGTGGTGGGGTCTGCACAAACAGTGAGGACAGGCCATCCATGTATTCAAGTAAGTATTTTCGTTAGAACTGAAATAGGGTGTCGCCATTCTTTACCATGTTCCCACTCAGTTAACCGTACAGGATTATTTTGGCTTTTCAAAGTCATTTCGGTCCTCCAAGAAGCCACTTGATTATCGATAGTTACAGGTGTTTTTAGTTTTATGTTAGTGTACTGAATTGCTCCTCTGCGAAGAGGTTACGACCGCCTGACTTTTCATTTATGGCTATGTATAATCCTTCTTGATTTCAAATTCTCTGTGTGTACCTATCACCTACCTTCAGAAGCGGATTTTCATCAATGGTTTTTGACGAAGCATTGATCCCAGCTCTGTCTGTCAGTGCAGAGGTTTTACTGAAATTGGAATAAAAAAATTATTGCATTGGTTTCGTGAATCATTACTTATTCCATTGGTTGGCTTCGCAGGAAAGAAACTGCAAAACTAGATAGGGACGATCTAAAGGAAAAAAAGTTATGTGGAGCTATGGCTAAGGAAATGGAGAGGGCTACCATAAGTAATAGATCATTTAATTTGAAATGAACTGTTTGTCGGAGGTCTTTACAAGCCCTATGTTTTACGGAAGTATTGAAATTTTAACTTACTGAAGTGAATCATTTCCAGTTGTGCGATAACCTTCGCTTGAAGTTATGCCAGGTTCCCTTTTTAACTCACGTGAGTTCTCAGATGCTTGCGTTTCTTCTTCCTTACTTCTTCCAGTAGATTCAATGAAATTCACTCGAGATTGCTTTTCTAAAAAAGCGTCTGACAGTCCATTCTCTTTTCTCGCTTCATAATCTTTATTTTCCGTTGGATTTTCACCGTCTTTTTTCTTATGTTCAGACTCAGAGTGTGATTGCAGCTGTCGATTTTCCTGTTTTTCCTCTGATTCTTTATGATTTCTATCATCCACTTTCGTTGGCTGGGATTTTTCATGGATTTTTACATCTTCGATAGCCGGCGTTTCTTCAGCAGTTCGTTCACCACTCTCTTCAGTACGACCACCTTGTCGTTCTGCTTGTTCCACAGAGAAAATTTTCCTTTGCAGATTGCCACTTGTTTCGCTATGACCCTCACCATGGTTATCTGGATTATTCTTGTTCGTCTGGATAGACAAAACGGACATCAAGTCACGAATGCAATCCATGACCTCCTGAAATGAAACCTTTTGACTTCTTTGTTCTATTTAGGCTATTGTTCTATTCTACTATCAAGGAAATCTCTCATTCCTTTCTAGCGCTCTTCAAAGACAGTTTGGCTCATTATCATCGAAGGTCGAGAGAATCGGAATGCCGACTATTTGACGAAAAGTAACAGAAGTTTAGATTTTCATGGCTTTATAACAGGTTCAGGAATTCCCAAGACCGACTTTCTGTTTACCTCGGCATTAATTGATAATTCAATGTTTTTCTTCAATAAGCAGACACGAGGTTGTTAATATAGAATTTATCAGAATACAATAGCTATTAGAATAGTTTAATTATTAAAATTTATTAGAATAGGTTTAGGAATTGTTTGAACGTGATTTTATTAAAGTACGCAGAGACGACTAGCCTTACCAGCATAAGTTCTTTCTTTACAATTGTTTTTTCATCTTTGTAATCTTCCATCGAATTTATTGGTCGTCCAAGAAATAGCGCACAGTCCGAGTAGATTCGATAGAGCTGAACAAAGGCAAGAAAGTCCATTGGTGACGACTGAAGGTGGAAATTCGAACACACCTCTTCATTGAAGTGCAGCTCATCCATTATCTGTGAACTGCTATTGTCCTGAAAGTAACCCATTTCTATAGGTCGTATGTATGTAATCTTTGTGTGTAATATTTTATGGGGATACTTTGAATGAACGGAATATTTTGGTTTTCACAGACCTCGATTACAGAATTGCTGTTAGGAGGACGGTCCACTACCACACTCCTTCGGAATCTTCCGCTTTGAGAGTTCCGAACTTCTTCTGTTTCCATGACTGTTCTCAGTTGTGCCTTAATGAAAGCTGACATGTTTACTGTACTGATAAACCACCTGATAGCATTCCTTACATTAAGTTCATCTTCACCGATAGCACGGCCTTCATGAACATCGTTTTCAGTCAATTCTATGGTCATGATAGATCTCATAGATGGCTTGGATCCTAAAAGAAGTGCATATCGACGTTGACACATAGTGCCAAGTTCGTTTTCGGGCTAACTGCAACTGGTTCGACACTCAAACACATTGTAGACACCGTGTAATAAACGTTGCTGAATTTTCGGTAAGTAGAGAATTTTGGGAGTTGAGAACTTGGTGAAACTTTAAAAGACTTTGCTCTATCACTCGAAAGGTGCGTATGTCATTATCCACTATGTATTACAATGCTTGCCGACCATCCAAACATACTGCTGTCAGTGTGCAGAGTTCTGTTTAGCAACTTATTCTGAATACATTTCAAAATTCTTCATATTCACCCATTCTATGCGATAAATATGACTCATTGTATGGAAGGTTTGATTATAGTCAATTACTGTTTTATCCTGGAGTTGACTTTCTGTATGGAACGTACAGTAGACCTGATGAATACGCTAGTCCGAGAAGCAGTTTTAAATTATTAAGTGTAGAGAATAGATTTTTCGACATACGTCAGGCTTGACATCTCTGTTGAATACTTGATACTTGATACTTGAACGGCCCGTTCTCAGTAGTTGTGTGGGCCCTAGCATAATCACCATATTTCGGAGATTTGCTGGCTAATCCACTGTGATTTCCTGGAATTTCGAGGTAAGCCTAGCCAAAGTCTGCCCCAGGTCCTCACCACGACAGGCAGACGCAGCGCTTGTGGATCAGAGGGAGATTTGCCACTATGCCGCTTTGATACTAGTACAGTGGTGGGTTCTGGTAGTGGTTTATTCTTAGCTACTCTTCCTGATGAAGAACGCGGGACTCCTTCTCAGTTTGGGAGACCTTGCCGGATGGACGAATCTTCCCGCTGTACATCGCAGTCCGACACGCAGGAACACCTCCCAGTCACGATGAGGCGGTAAACCGTTGGGAGGATTCCTGTGAATAATAAAAGTGGTGCAAAAAGCATAGCAGTAAGTTTACGCTGTAAAGTAAACATCTGAATGAAGGATTCGTTGGAATTAATGTGCATCGTGGAGTACATGTCCAAAATAGCTCGCCACATTTTTTGAGAGCTTGTGACGCGAGATCAAAAATTCGAGACTCGTTAACTGTACGCCTAGAAATTTTTTGACCATTTTTCCGAGCATTTAACGACGTATTTATAGTTAGTTCAAAAGAGGGCTCATGTAGTGCAATGATCGAGAGGCGCTACGCAATCCTCTGCAATAGATATGGGATCGACCCACCGCCCAGTGCTCACCAAGCCTTCCATCCTTCCGGGGCCGCTAAATTGCTACCAGACTTCTGAGACGATAGCAGCACTCGATTCATCGGAAGGTCACCGCGAGTCATTGTTAATCTCAGATATGCATTCGATCACCTCCAAAGATGCTTAATGAAGTCGAATGCATGGCGCATCCCTCAGGGTTTGATCAACGCTGAGAGCTTCATCCTTTTTTTAGTTTTTAAAACTTGTTTAAATATTCTGTCGGTGAATATTTGGCTAGAGAATTTAAAAGACATGTACGGTTATAACTTTGTAATATAAAAAGTTTCCAAAAATGTAATGTTTTATCCAGAAAAAGGTTTTCCAATTTTCTAAAAAAGAAACCTTTCTTTAAAGGAAATACTACTGCCTTGAGGCATTTACAAGTAGATAAAATTTTAAATACGGCCATGCAATTTGCTTCTTTTGTCTTTAACTTACAAGTGCAATCATTAGTTCTCAAAGCTCACTCAGTTTCTCTTCATTATCTCCTAATTCTTCCTTCTGTGTGCTGTGCGCCTTTGAACTCACACGGAACAGCAACTGATCCATCCGTTGACGGGTGCTTTCACTGATCTCCTAAAAACTCTCAGTTTCAGAGGGGTAACAAAGCACCAACGATGCCGAAAGGAAAACTAGCCTCTTTTTCGTTGGCTTTCCTCTGTAGCTCATTGAGCTGATGCTCCAGTTCTGCTACTTTCACTTCTGAATCAGACAAAAGTCGTTCAAATAGTTCCTCGGAAGGCACGATGTTTTCCTTCACATCTTCCTGCTGTTTTCCATTTATATCTTCTGCCTTATCCTAGAAGGAATATCTTACTTTTCTTTCTACTTCTGTTCAGCAAACACGAGGTGTTACTTTATTTCTTTGTTTACGTACAAGCTGACGTTTCAGCGGATTTCGCCTTCATCAGAGTCTGGAAAGGTCAAGTTGACTGCAAACTATACGGCCAAACACCTCCATAACCAAACAGAGAAAATTCTGAACCAAAATTTCAATCACATCAAACACAGTCTTTGCACACTTATCGCTTATCTATCCGATCTCTTGTAAAGCGTGCGGGGACGAATACGTTGGCGAAACGGGTGGACCACTCTGCGTACATATAAAAGAACATCTAGTCGGCAAACGTGAACCAAATACTCCATTAGGCACGCATAGCACGCAGAGACATAGCGGAGAAGATTTTGAAGTAGGGGTTACGATCCTCGCGCAAGAATCGAGAACACAAGCGCGCAAAACTCTCGAGGCGTTCTGGATTAATTCCAGAAATCCGAAAATGAACCGCAGGGAAGAATGCCTCATTATCACGCGTGATATTGGGCAGTATATAAGCCTGTTATTCTGATGGGAGAGGCATATTACGCTTCCATGTGAATTCTGTGCGGTTGGTCTCCACGTGGCATATTTAGTGGAAGTTTCATAGAAAGAGGTGAGTGTGCAAAGACTGTGTTCAATGTGGTTGAAATTCTGGTTCAGCATTTTCTAAGTTTGGTTATGGAGGTGTTTGGCGTGTAGATTGTAGTCAACTTGACCTTTCCAGGCTCTGAGGAAGGCGAAATCCGCCGAAACGTCAGCTTGTATATAAATAAAGAAATAAAGTAACACCTCGTGTTTGCTGAACAGAAGTAGAAAGAATTATTCGATCAATGCCGAGGTTAATAGAAAGTCGGACTTGGGAGTTATCCTACTTTTATTTAAGGTCAAAATTAAATGTGAAATACTTCAAGTCAAATGATCGCTATATACGGATATTTATTGGACTAAGCAATAGAAAAACGATGTTCATGAGCAACAGATTGGTTTTGCACACCCCATTAACGCTCAACGGAACGAATATCTCCGAACGCTCCAGTTATATCTTTTCTGGTCGGGAAATCTATATGATTAGCGACCTAGTTCCAGAGCTGAGCAGAAGAAAACGAGCGGCTTGGGAGCTTTCAAGAGCATCGAGGATGTAGTGAAGAGGACAAAGAACACCCGACTCCGTGCCTACCTTTTCGACTCAACCGTACTTCCTGCTCTAACGTATGCGTCAGAACCCGGTCGCTGAGTAAGCAGTATGAAAGGTCATTCAGCGTTATCGAACGCGCTGTCGAAAGGACGATGCTAGGAGTATCCCGTTCCACACAAGTAAGGGATGGGATCCGAAGCCCCGATCTGCGTCAACGATCAGAAATCAAAGATGCCGTTCTGTACGCCAAACAGTCAAAGATAAGTTGGGCCGGACACGTAATGCGTATGAATGACAACCGATGGACAAGAGTCATTAGTGACTGGATTCCTCGGAACGTCAAACGGACAGCAGGAAGACCACCGACTCGATGGCCGGAGTTCTTCACGAGGAGCCTAGAAGAAAGATATGATGCTCGACGAGTCCCTAGAGCGAGAAGAACTTTACTGGGCTACTCTTGCACGCGACAGGGAGAAATGGAGGATTTACTGGCGCCTGCTCGAGTCATTGCACGGTTAACGGGACTGCAGGTGATACAGGTGAAGCAATGGAATATTCACCAAGAAGAGTTTCATGCAGAATGAGAGAGGAACTGAAGGAATAGGGAGGTGCTTTGACAAAAATCGTGCGAATTAATCGAAAACTTACCTTCGAAGATTGCCCGTTCGGAACAGTTCTTGAAGAGTCATCCGCTAGAAAACGATTTCTTAACTATAAAAGAGGTCCTACACCCATCAATTTATTGTAATTTATAACAGCATACCAGCTTGAGTTCCTCCATTAGCTCCAGTAGAAGAATTTTCACGAGTTTTCTCGAGTTCATAAGCAGTGAGAGACAGTAAAGGTGAAATGCTTGGCAGAAGCCAATGATTTTCCATGCGTTCACGATAGAAATATTCCTAAAAATGTGAATTAGGGTTGGAAAAATGTTAAACTTGAAGTAAATGATAGGCTTTCAGTACTTTACCTTTAATTTGTCAATGGCATCCAGTAATTGCATTCCAGTCAAGCCTTCAACTTGAATTTGCTCCTGAAGAATTGTTGTCTTTTTCTGTACGGTTGACCGTAAAGTCCTGTGGCATATTCAGTTTTCATCTACTTTTCTTCGAAAATAACTGCCAGCAGTACTTTATTCGACCAAATCCTAACACCTGGTTGTAGCTCTCGATAATTCCTTTTCATTTGGTCAGGCTTACCTACCCAAGAAAATTTTGCTTCCAGATGTGTATCGCGTCTTGTGACGAGTGTCAATATCTACTATTGTCTTTTTTTCTTCACCACTGAAACTGATTTTGAAGGACCTCCTAACCGAGGCTAAAAGTTGGTCGTTGCAGGTGGAACATAGATGTAGTTGACGAAACTCCAAAGGAATGGTTTACTACGAGGTTCTTCCCGTCATTACCATATTGATTACAATCGTCCACTTAACGTTGGTTAATGTTGAACAGTGAAAAGTTCTGTACGTGTGTTTTCCTCTTATACAATATTGTTCGTCGGTACACTCTGGAACCGAGTCTCGTCACAGAGTCACCACTCTTTGACGGGATGTCATTCCACTCTCGAGATGTTGTTAAGATAGCATTCTGGCGAATGTTCTTTATGGCGATTGACCACTTACGGAAAGGAGTTTCACTAGGAGTCCAAAACATAAAATGGGAAGTTCTTGAAAAGGAAAATTTTTGCTTAAATAAAAGAAATCTATTCGCAGTGTGGCAGAACCCTTCCAGTAACGGTAAAAATCATTAAAAGAAATATGAAAATATCCATATTGATCTGAAAATGAACTCGACATAACCGTAGTATATCAGGGAATAAACATCTAGCCAGTTCTGCCTTTAGTTTAAGAACGCACAGTCAGTGTCCCAGTTAGCGAGAAGCATCTTTGATTTAGAGCCGTGTCAACTAACGTTTAGGAGAGAATCAAGCACTACATTTCGGGAAGTCAGAAAGCGCTCAGTAGCCAAGAATCAGAAATTCGTAGTGGGTGAAGCTTCGCTCTACACTATTAAAGGCAATTATTTTGTGCATAATCAATTCTAGTAATAATTGAAGAAAACCAACAGCTAGTTGTCGGCTCCACTGTGTGAACACATTGCAGACTAGGATCGACTCTTCAGCGGTGGCGCAAGCATTTCGTATTATCGGCACCAGTATTTCGATTTCACCTGCCACAGACTGAAAAGTGTCAGTTTAAATTTAAAATACGAAAGTTGAAAAGAATCTATATAAAGTTTATCTTTCAGAAGTTATTTTATTTGATGCTGATGATAAGTGTTGGTGGATAAATGGATAGATTTCTTTTTCAGAGATTGTTCATCAGGTAATCTTAACTGAGAGCTCCAATGCGGCAAGGAACAAATTTTTACATGACTTAATACTTGAATAACCCGTCCTTACTAGCTGTGCGGGCCTCAGCAAAATCTCCATTTTTGGAGATTTGCTGGCTAAGCCATTGCGGCTCCTTGGAATCCCGAGCTCAGCCTGGCCAAAGTCTGCCCCAGCTGCAGCCCTTGTGGATCAGAGGGACATTTACCACCATGCGACTTTGATACCAGGACAGTGGTGGGTCTTGGTATTGGTTCCCTCTTATTAAGGCTTCCTGATGGAAACGCCGGACTCCTTCTCAGCTTGGGAGTCCCTGCCAGGGAATGAATCCTATGCTGTACATCGCAGTCTGACACTCAGGAACACCTACCAACGGCAATGAGGCCGTAAACCGTTGGGAGGTAATGCAAAACAACATTCTCGAAGTGAAATAATAGTATTTTACGTCATTCGTGGAGGCTTTATAGCGTGTCTAGCCTCGCGTCAACACTTTACTTAGCTAAAATGATGCCCAGATATAAGCAAAACTCGTAAAACGGTGTTAGCTTTAAAACCGTGATTGCTCATTACGAGGACTCGTTATCCACTGTACCATCGAGGCCTTTGCCTTGCTCTCAAGCAATTTTTAAATTTTTTTAAAAAATTTTTCTGTCGATGCTTTCAGTATTCACCCGTCAACAGGAACGATCTGGGGACCAGAAATCGGTACTGAACTCAATTATGCTGAAGCTGCAGTGGAAATGACAACGTTTAACTTTTTATTTACTGTCTAATTTTTTCATGGCAGGGTGTTATGAGAAATACAACCACAATGATGCTAAAATATGAGCAAAACTCGGAATCTTGGGTGAATAAGTATGTCTACTTCCCTGCACATCATTTTGTCGTTCTTCATTCTTTTAAGACAGTCGTCACCAATCCGCTTTTAATATGTGCAACATTCTCTTATACCAAGAAAAAATTATTGAGGAAGAAAAAAAACAGGGTCCCATATGCAAAAATGGTTTTCTAAATCCATCAAATTTTATCGTCTTAGGAAAAACATCTACAATTATACTGACAATCTATCTCCGTATTCCTCTAGCCTATGTATTTCTAGTATATTTGCGAAGTATCTAAATGACAGAGCCGAATAGTGCGCATTGAGAAAATCCCAGTTGGAAGACGAATGCGGTCGTAATTTATTGATGATAGACTGGCATGCAAACCTTGCCATCTGTGGAAACCTTATCTTTTATCGTTTCTACATAGAGATAACTTGATCATAAATCTTTCTTAACGATATCATTCAGCTTGCTGAGTAAATTGGTGTGTATCATTCTACTACCAGCTAACCCTCTGTGTGAGTTTTTTGACAAGCGAATTTCATGACTTTCATTAATACTTACTTATACTTGAATGGCCCGTCCTCATTGGTTGTGCGGCTCCCATCATGATCTCCATTTTTCGGAGATTTGCTGGTTAAGCTATTGTGGTTTCTCGGAATCCCGAGATAAGTCTAGCCAAAGTCTGCTCCAGGTCCTCACTACCACAGGCAGTCGCAGCCTTTCTAGATCAGAGGGAGATTTGCCACAATGCGACTAATTTGATACCAGGACGGTGGTGGTTCCTGGTATTAGTATTGGTTTACTCTTAGCTAGCTTCCTGGTGGAAACGTTGGACTCCCTCTCAGCTTGGGAGACCCTGCTGAACAATCCCTCCATTGTACATCGCAGTCCAACATTCAGGAACACCTCCCAGCCACGATGAGACGGTAAACTGTTGGGAGGGGCTTTCATTAATATTAAGCTCTAGATTTCTACAACGCGATTTTCAAGTAAGAACAGTATCCGTCTTTACAGAACAACTTGCATATTTTTTTTAGTTTTTTATATTTTCGCATTTCTTTCTCATAGTCTCTGTTAAGTGGCAGCTACAGTACGGCTACCAAGTAGCCCTAGCATGTGCACATCTCGCATTGTTCAAATGTAACAAACCTTCGCTCAAAATGAAAACCTTACCGACCAGGTCTCCCCCCCTTCAAATTTTTGTCGTACAGTACAGTGTTAATTGGGAGTAATTCCAGTATTTTCTCAAAAGCTTCGTTCATTGAGTATATTGATATGGAGTAATTGTCACGTCTAAGGTCTAGCGGGATTTTCACTGACCTTTTTCCAGATTTTCGGTTTTGTCGTTAAGAAGCGGAATTTACTAGCACTCCCCACCCCCACCGAAAGCTTCATGCTTTATTTTTTTTTACCTCCACCATCAGAAATACGGCGTTTTCGAGATAAATTCCTCTACCCTCACAACACAATCTCTTTGAGGTATTTCTAGCATAATAGCCACCATGCAATGGATTATGGATATTTTATGGCTCGACAAACGACGCTATTTTTCAAACTGTTCTATTCAAATCTGCCCAGATGGCAGATACTAGATTTTAAGGGGCAGATACTAGATTTTAAGGGGCAAAAGGCTTGGTCGATATGTGAATTTCAGTACCTTTACTTTTATAGAATTCTCACAAGCCCTTGACGGGGTGGGATGTTGTCAGAACCTGATTATGTAAAATGTGCTAACACTATAGTCTTTAGTTTGCACCTAATAGGATTTCATGATGATTTCGTATTTGAATGTACGTCTTCCCATTTTGTAGGAGATGACATCCAACTTTGTTCAAGTGAACGGCATTAAGCTCTTCACTAATGTAGGACTGTGGCCGTACAATGACGATGGAGTTCGCTTGTGGAGCGGTTCCATTCGGATCGACGCCACAGACGCCGGTAATATTTTAATTTCGTTAGCAAAACAAGATCACGTTCGGATTGTGAAAATTCCACATTTCGCTCACCCGGTGTCTGACTGACTTTCCTGTGAGAATGGATGAATCCAATTTTAAGTTGTACTACGTCTGAAAATCTTGTTGCGTTGCGAGTTCTTTCTAATCTAGTACAAAAATGCTATTGTGTTTTATCCTTATTTCCTTATTTCAGTGTAACACTGAGGACCTAAATGGTCCTATGGATCCCATGGTTCCCAAAATAATCAAATATTAAAGTATTTTCTATAATAACTACTAAGGCTTGAGTTATTACTACGTAATAACCGATATTTGGCGTCTAGAGATTGTGAGCACAATTACCCTTGGTCGCAGTGATCCAGGAACTAAAAGCGACCAGTTGCTCTCTCTGAACTTCAACTTGCGGTGGAAACCATGGGGTAAGGCACAGTTCCAGGAACTTACAACAAACTACAATATCATAGCCTACTTCAGTGAGGTAGAAACCACGAACAACAGTACCTTTTGGAATCTATACGACGTTCAAAAGGAAGGGATCCCAGAACAGTAGAAGATCGTGGTCATCCTGTCCAAAAATGGTGACGGAAGAGCCAATCAGACTACCATCAGATTTACTTGTTGAGTTTATCTTGCAAGCTCTTCATACGTATAAGGGAGTTTGGATGAGGCACAACCAGTTGAGCAAGCAGATATTCAACGGGGATTCTGGCGCATAGTACGCAACCAAACCAACCGTGGGTCATGAAAGTCTACCGAGAGCACCGAGATGTTTACTTCCTAGTTCAGATTTTTGACAACTATGAGAAAGTGTTTGACAGCCTCGAAACGAATGAAATCTTATTATCGTATATTAACCAAGGAGTGGATCCATCCTATTCATGAACTGTATCTGGAAGCCAATACAACACGAAAGTGAAACTTTTCCATCGACAAATCACAAGCTCCAGCTGGAAATGGGTCCGACAAAATTACCAACACAGCTATTTTATCTTTCTACTTCTGTTCAGCAAGCATGAGGTGCTATTTTATTTCTTTATTTACGCACAAGCTGACGTTTCGGCGGATTTCGCCTTCCTCGGAGCCTGGAAGGGTCAAGTTGACAGCAATCCACTCGGCCAAACACCTCCATAACCAAACAGAGAAAACTCTAAACCAAGATTTCAATCACATTTAGCATAGCTCTGCACACTCACCGCTTTCTATGAGTCTTCCACTGAGTATATCGCGTGAAGACCGACCGCACAGAATTCACATGGAAGCGTAATGTGCCCCTCCCATCAGAATAACAGGTTTACATACTGCCCAATATCACGCGTGATAACAAGGCATTCCTCCCTGCGGTTCATTTTCGGATTCTTGGAATTTATCCAGAATGCCTCTAGAGTTTTGCGCGCTTGTGTTCTCGATTCTTGCGCGAGGATCGTAACCCTTACTTCAAAATCTTCTCCGTTATGTTTCTGCGTGCTATGCGTGCCTAGTGGAGTACTTAGCTTACGTTTGCTGGCTAGGTGTTCTTTTATACTTACGCAGACTGGTCTACCCGTTTCGCCAACGTATTCGTCCCCGCACGCTTTACAAGAGATCAGATAGACTGTACCCGAACTCATGCAGTCACCGTCTCTACCATTGGGGCAAATTATGCAATTTTGCGTTGCACATAGACGGTCGTATAGGCGGTTACGAACTAGCTGGCGGCTTAGATTACTCGGTGGTATTTCGATTATCGTTACCGAATTCTCTAGACTGGCCCTTCTTAAACAGCGTTTTATAGCTGCACTTACTTCATTTGAAATAAAGGGCAGTATAAACGGGACCTTGTTGTCGCTAGAGTTATCGTTGGGGTACCTGTGGTTTCCTCTACACCTATCTGAAGCTAACCGTAGAAGGGTAATCGAAAGAATCCAAGAAAATATTTCGTAAAGGAGGCTAATGCTCTTTCAAAGAATGCACAACTGTTGACTAAACGATATTCGGCTCCTTTATTGCAAGTGGCCTCAAGACTAGCCAAACATGCTCTTTGCTAAAACACAAGACTGCGCATTTCCTTCCATGATTAACGAGAAATTCTACTCATGTGAAATTCCTGTATGCATCATGGAGCGCACCAAATGTTGTTCATATGGAGAATTCATTTTCCCAATCGGTTATTGGCAAGGCTACGTAGTAGTCTTGAAACCGGGCAAAAAAAGGAGCTAGATGTTGACTCACATGAGGGCACGTCCTTGCCTTGGGAGGCATGTGTCTACGGCATAGCTCTATGCTCTCTGGCTTCTGATATTTCGCACATGCGTATTCATATTTGATCATATTATTTCATGCGGGTACGGCCCCCAATCTTAACTGTGAAGCATAACTGTATATGGAGGACAGTTAGAGGTGATCACCGTGAAGCAAGTCCCACATGTTGTCTGACAGGTCCTAAATAGTAGTCGCGAATTTTCTTTTCAAAAAGAGAGAATAAAGGGAGGCGTACGAAAGGTTTGGTAATCTTTGTCTCTCTTGAGCAAATAGAGCCTACTGTGTAGCTTTTGCGTGCTGCATGAATGAATGGAGACGTCACTGGTGTCCTGTCTAGTCAGTCTATTATTAGTGGGATTACGGCTAAAGCAGGCGACCATAAAATGAAAATTTAAGGAAACGGCAATGTTTGACTAGGCTAGTAGGTACTAGTCCTTGTTATAGAAATTCTTACAGACAGCGATCACCGGTATAAGGTTCGGTGCAGTTGCCACAAATCTCATATGCCTTTCTTCCGGTGCACTCATGGAACTGGTGAATTGAAAGCGGGAGAAATGGAGCACTTGAGCGTGTGTTTTCTTTCCTTCATATATCTTCTAAACGATTGCCATAAATTTATCGGGTGTACTTTTTTTTCCAGAAGGTGCTAAGAGTGGAGCAGTTTGACATTGAGTGTTATTATTATTATTATTATTATTATTATTATTATTATTATTATTATTATTATTATTATTATTCACAACCTTAACCTTTTTATTTACTGCCTATTCTTTTTAACGGCAGAGTATGTTGCGAAATATAACTTCTATAATGCTGAGATATTTGTAAAACTCCGGACCGCAGGTAACTGCGGTAGGGAACGAACGCGCTATTTTCCTTTCCGGGGAGTAACGCGCTCACCACCACACCATGCGGATCCTTCATTTCGCCTGTTTCTTTTTTTCGAGACAGGCGAAACGAAGGAACCGCATGATGTGGTGGTGAGCGCGTTACTCCCCGGAAAGGACAATAGCGCGTTCGTTCCCTAACGCAGACACCTGCGGTCCGGAGTTTTGCAAATATCTCAGCATTATAGAAATTATTATTATTGTTTTTATTATTATCCTTGCTATTATCACTATTATTTTTAAAGAGAAGCGCTGTCAACTATCGAATTTGGCTTGTGGCAGTCGTAGACCAATTCGTATATACATGCACATATATGGGGCAGATAGTACAGTGGTAGTGATGTCGGTCATCACGAGCATGGTGCTAGTTCGGTTCCGCTCCGGGCCAACCAAGCCTCTCATTCCTCCAGGGTCGAGAAATTGGTACCGGACTTGTTCGGGAAAAAAATCACTCTCTGTAATCTAAATGGGAACCCTCCAGCCTGGCTATTTCAGGACTCTAGGGAGAATCGACACGTCCAGCATTCTACGACATTCAAGATGGAGTGGAAATCCTCAAGCTGCAACGGAAGCTACGCGAAAACACTTCTAAGACCTTCGTGAATGATGAATACGATGGGACAAATTGAATATTAGAAGTACTGGGATTCACACAGTTGACGTGAAGATGGGTCATATAAAACAAAAAAATTTGCGCATATATATATGTATATATGCATGTTTATATGTAAAGGATAAGCGTTAATATTAGAGGTGACGACAGTACAATACCTTGTCAAAAGAAACACGACTTCGGATGTAAACAAAATATAGAAAGAAAAATATTTAAGCATCGTTGTAGCTTAAAGTTCCGGAACCAGCAATTGGTACAGCCATAATGACGGTTATCATTGACAACGTACCTACTGATCTCAACTTATACAAACTTGATGGAGCAGAAGAGTTGTTTTTTGGGACAGGAGAACCAAGCTTGCTCAGTAAGTGTTGTTTTGTTACACACTTGATGTGATTGAGTTAGTTCATTACAGAGAAGCTTGCTATACTGAAAAGAAATCCCAAGAAGACTCTGTGGGAGAACTTTGATGAGCATCGGAGAGCTTTCGAAGCTGTATCGACACATATTAAGCCTATATTCCAGAATTCTCCAACCGGGCTAACTGCATGTATATTGGTAGGTGTGGATAAGTTTTTCACTGAGACTTCTCGTTCTTGAAGACAACATTTCGCAGAATTCGCCAACAAGAACGTCAACGTGGCAGCTACTAAACCAAATTATTTATCCTGTAGTGTTGGAACTATTGCAAGAACTTGGAGATTTCGCTAAAGAAGAAGCGAAAACGATGAGAAATCACGCGGTTGGTTCCAAGTGGCCGTCGAGGAACGTGGAAGCAAGCGATGTCACTGAGATGGTGCTGCTTCGTCTGTCGAAGAAACTACAGGAAGAATATAAGAATACCAATTCCGCACGAAATGAATCAACTCCGAGCCTCTGAAGCAATAAAAAATTTCGTGAATAAAATAAGAGTAAATAAATATCCTCAATGTTTAACCTTTATTTACTGCCTATTGTTTTATCTTTCATAGCAGGGTGAAAAGACTAAAAAGCTTGGTGTTGATCAATTCCTTACTGATGCGCCATGCATTCGACTTCATTAAGCATCATTAGAGGTGATTGAATGCATATCTGACTTTTACAATGATTCGCGGTGGCGTACCGATGTATCAAGCCCGTGCTGCTATCCTCTCAAACAAGTCTTGTACCAATTTGCCGACCCCGGAGGGATGGAAGGCTTGGTGAGCTAGGCGTTCGGAGATCGATCTTATTTGTGCTACAGGGCGCCTCCGATCACTGGCTGCGCCATGTGCGGCCATGGTAGGGTACTATGTGAAATATGACCACAAAAATACTGAGATGTGAACAGAACTCGGAACCTCGGCTGAACTTCGAAGTTGCGATTAACCTTTCTGGGATTTCTGCTTTGTGCTGACTTTTGATTGCTAGTAGCACCGTTAAGATAGAAAACCCGCTGAGAGAAAGGCAAAGCAGGAGCGTTGGTGGTGCAGTGGATAATATGTGAGCCCCTGGAAAATCCTGTTTCTAAAAGTGGACATGGAGACATGGCTAAAGGGAAAACCAACTAAAAGTAGAGCACATCACCTGACTTATAGAAAAAATTCCACGGTAGAAAAAAAATTATTGATATACCTTAGTAATTGCAGAATTTGATGTACCTTTGAGAGGAGAATCAGAAAGTTGATATACTTATTTATGCGATCTTATAAACTGATCTTCTTAAGCTGACGCGAGGTTGGTACAGATCTTCGTTGTCGTTGTCGTTGTTTTTGATGTTATTGATCGATGGGTCCCGCACGTAACATCACGGCTCTGAGGAAGGCGAAGTCGCCGAAACGTCAGCCATCGACCAACAACAACGACAACGACAAGGAAGATCTGTACCAACCTCGCGTCAGCTTAAGAAGATCAGTTTATAAGATCATATAAATAAATATATCAATTATCTATGCCGAGGTTTATAGAAAGTCGGTCTTTCGAGTTATTAAGAATCAGAAAGACTGTCCTTGAGATAATAGACTGTGTTCTCTAAAGATGGGGATGCTCTCGTTATTCGTGAGGTTTTGGTTGCCCAATCCGAGATAAAATCGGAGCAGAATATTGAAAAATCATTCAGAATATGAGTTCGATTTTGCGAATGACTGGAGAATCTCTAACACAGAAGAAAATCGGATCGAGAGTCATCTCGTTCAGAATCTCACAAGGTTACTAGGTTGTTTGGGAATAAATGCAGGTTTTTTAATGTTTGTCTTGTTTTCATAAGCAATCTTTTTCGAACGATGTACTATTGCATATTAGTGAGTAGCTTATTTTACGCTATTTCGTATGATGTAACTACAACGTTATGAGTTTTCTTTAGCAAACTTTGTAGGTTAAAAATTTAGGCGTCTGAACAGCAATTACGAGAAATCCACTTTCCCGATTTCGAACTTTGGCGCACGAAGCGCAAGCGGATCGGAACATTAATGAGATAGGGATACAAGGGAATGTTAACGAATGGATGGTGTGATGCTTTGAGAAGTTTTGTTGCCGTGAATTCAACCCTAAAATTGAGAAAGGTCGCGTCATTCTGCTATTGACGATGGTGATCTGAAGGCTTCCCTGTAAGAAAGCACAAGGAGACTATTCGATAACTTGTCGAAGGACTTACTATAAAAACCTTAGTTATTTCCGACCAATTTGGAGCACATCACGCTGCAGAAGCGCGGCTTCATTTCACATTACACTGACGGCGTATAAAGTTCGAACACGCTGGACTACGATGCTGTGCCTGACCCACCATACTAGCAAAACTCATCGCATAGCGACTACCACTTCTTCAGACACCTCGACAACTTGTGTGAGAGAAGTCATCAAAAACCAAACCGAAGCCGAAACTACCCACAGCGAGTTCATCGCTTTCAGAAGTTCAGAATTTTATGCTTCTGGTGTAACTTGTTTTTATAGAAAACATCTGAAGGCTTAAATGGGTTTTATTTTGGCTCATAAAGTTTGTTCTGCGTTGAGACATGCCACGTTAGCAAGTGTGGCCCGAGTCCCACTTGCAACAGCAAAGTTCTGATATATTTATTTATGTGATCTTATAAACTGATCTTAAGCTGACGCGAGGTTGGTACAAATCTTCGTTGTCGTTGTCGTTGTTCTTGATGTTATTGATCGATGGCTAACGTTTCAGCGACTTCGCCTTCCTCAGAGCCGTGATGTTACGTGCGGGACCGTGATGTTCAAAAACAACGACAACGACAACGAAGACCTGTACCAACCTCGCGTCAGCTTAAAAAGATCAGTTTATAAGATCACATAAATAAATATATTCACCGTCAATTAACCGAAATTAGTAGTCAATAGGCGTTGGATAGCACAGTGGTAGTGATGGAGTAATGGTTAACTATCTATGTCGATGTTTATTAAAAGTCGGTCTTTCGAGTTATTAAAAGTTCTGATATATATATGTATATACATGTTTATATAATACATATATATATATGTCCAACGGTTTACCGCCTCATCGTGGCTGGGAGGTGTTCTTGGGTGTTGAGCTGCGATGTACAGCAAGGGTCCCCACGGCAGGGTCTCCCAAGCTGAGAAGAAGTCCAGCGTTCCTATCAGGAAGCCCAACTAAGAGGAAACCAATACCAGGATCCACCACCGTCTTGGCATTAAGCTAGTCGCATGGTGGCAAATCTTCCTCTGATTCACAAGGGCTGCGACTGCCTGTGGTGGTGACGACCTGGGCCGGACTTTGGCCAGGCTGTCCTTGGGACTCCAGGGAACCACAATGACTAAGCCAGAAAATCTCCGGAGAATGGAAATTATGTTGAGGACGCAATGGGCAACCAGCGAAGTCGGGTTATCTAAGTATCCAAGTAAGCAAGTATATATATATATATATACGTATATACATACGTAAATATATATACATATATATATTTGTAACGCAGGTCGTTATCCTGTGTCAATTTGTGAGCAACTTAGTAATCCTTTTTTTGAACAAGGGTTAGCAAACGTATCTACCACAGCAGAAACAATTTTACAAAAAGTGTAGCACGTATTAGTGATACCTATTGATTGTATTGTGACCATATATTTTTTCTTAATTTTATTCCTACCATGGATTTGATTGGTAGGCATTATTTAAGCAGCGAAAAATTACACAGTTCTAAGTCTTCTGTAAAGGAAACATCAATCTGCGTCTTTCTGCTGTTTATTGTGCAGTTAGCATGAAAGTAAAGTCTTTATTGATAACGACGAAGTAGTCTACTGAAGAAAACTCCGTCTTTATTGTAGAATTATTACTTATCTGAGACGCTTTGACTAGCCCAGTGATTTTAAAGTTCTAGTTTAATGCATTGATCAGTGAATTTTTCTTACCAGTATTTGGTCTCTCCCATCCCTACGGAAAAAGTCAGCGAGCTGAGCGCGTTGCATCGCACTGAATCCTTTCCGCGCCAATTCGATGTCACATTCCTTTTCGATTTCCTGAATTTGTTAAGAATTATAGACAATAAGAGCGAATTTATGCAAAAGCTGATGTCTTTTTATTCCCAACAGATGTTCTCAGTCTTATGAGTTTCTGCCCAATAGCTCAACCACAGCATAACTCATGTAAGTAACACGTTTAGATGAAAGCTCAGCTTGAAATTTTGCTGAACTCCATTGAGCCATGAAGTTTTTTAGGCAGCGGACGACTTATGGATAGAATTTTTCACAAATATCGAACATTTTCTATGTCTTATGCACTTTCCTTATTTTGCATAATCACCATCCAGGACACATTTCTCTGTGAACTTTAGCATGGCGATCAAATAAGCTTTCTCTAAAAGCTTATTGTTTACGGTTTAATCCGGTTTAATTTCTCGCGGCTACCGTAATATGCTTTAAATCATCTTTATCAGATTTTACTGCGTGAGAAGAGTTCTAGCATAACTCTGCTTATCATAAAAGGAATATAATCGACTACTGGTGTCATCTACCATTTTACTCCCATTGCAACGTTACTGCTGTGTTTGCTCTATGTGACACTTATACATCGCATTTCTTCATGGAGGATAGCGCAGTGTATAGCATACCAAGAAGTAAAGAGCTGGTCAGACCTCTTCGCGAACGCTTTCCCTCAATCACACGGGAACTCTGTAGGTCGGCTTCCCCCAAGAATACGGGCGGGCATAATCGAATCGACAAGCATTCTACGACATCCGCAAAGAAAATGAAATCCTCGAGGAGTAGCCGAAACAACACACCAAATGTTGGAAAACCTTTGTGGCTGCGAGGAAAACGAATCGAATGTAAGAACCACTGGATACATACAGTAGATGTGACGACGGATCATTCAATAGTGATTTAAAAAGCTACTACACCGGCCTATTGGAAAGCGGCTCTCTTATCTTAGCACAACTTCTTAACATTCTGTTTACTATTTTTGTTGTTATTTTATCGCTTGCATTGTTTCTTCCCATATCGTTAATGCTGTGTGAATTTTACTACAGCATTTACGAATTTAATTACCCAAGTTTGAAACTTGTTCTGCAGAATGAACGAAAAGCTCTGCGTGGCAAATTTTTTATGTAATCGAGCATTGCATTTCGAGCTATTAGTTATTCGGTTCTGGCAGTTGACTCGAAGAACTATATATCACTAGTTAACCACTACACAAACTCACAATCAGCTTCTGAGAAATTGGCTTCTCAGTAATGTTGATGAAGGCTGAGAAGACGTCCGAGTAACTTCGATGTCGACTTCGCAAAACACTGAATTTTGCAGAATTTAATGAGTTCAGTTTCGTCTTTCTAATAGCAAGTGTTCCCATTCATGGTTCTCACACGAAATAAGTTTAAGAGATATGGTGATTGCCAGAAAACAATATACAACTGTGGAAAAGAGGAACATCTGCAACTTGTTCCGTAAGTTAATTTCAAGGAA